CGTGAATGTCGTGGCAGATCTATTCACTACAGTTTATAGCGGAAAAATAGGCCCCATTTCATTTTACAATGATGTGAGAGTGCGAGAAGACGTGTTTGTGCGGACTGGACAGTTTTAGAAGGACGGAATCAGCGGTAGCAAGGAAAGTCTGGAGGAAATGGTATTTGTGAGGAAAGCGTTGCGTCGCAAAACGTTTACTTTGGCGTTTGTTTAGAATTAGAGAAAGTTTGCGGCATTGCAGGATGGCTTGGTCTGAGCCAGCTAGTAGTTTTTCATCCCTAGCGTGGGAATTCGAATTGTGGCGAAGTCCCGAAGAGCCATGAGACTACCAATGACAAAAGATAGGTCCTCAGAACCCAAAGAACTCGAGGAGCATAGACTGGTGCGACTGCAGCCGCAAAAAATGAAACTGTCACAGATTTCCATGACACGAACGCGAAATTAGGTCAAGATAACATTACAAGTTAAAGAAGAGATGAAGATTTTGACGCGGCTTATGTCTTTAGCTTATAACTGGCGACGGTGAGAGTAAAAGGTCAGCGATTTATAGTTTTTGTGCCAGTTTTCTCCGGTCAGAATGGTGACTCCACCACTTGACTGTCACCTGAACTTTCCTATTCTTTCAAAAGCTGGCAACATTCGTAGCAGGCTCACCTAAGAGTCAGTGCTTATGTTCAGTTAGTGCTGAATAACACAAAGTATACAGTTCTGCTATATATCCCCTTGGGGTTAATAACAGATGCAGTTCATTTCTCGGGCTGCAACTGCCGTGAACACCTTTCAACATAAAAGCTAGAATATGGAACTGTTTTATTGATTAGCGTCTCGGCGCAAACTGCCGGTCACGCCTGACTTTCTGCAAGCAGAACGGTGTTGGCTACAGCCTGGTCTTATAGTGAGCGTAGGCGTTTCGCGGGAGCAGTCGCTATCCCTCAAATCTTACAAAGGGGTATGGACGCATACAAGGAGGGGCTACTGTCAACATGATGTGGATTTGAAAAAAACGCAAGAAAGTAGCCGAAACCCTCCGAATAAGACCCCCTTTTCATAAACGCATACAGATGATTAAGGGAGAAAGAAGAAAAACGATCGTGCAGTTAAAAAGTTCTCCAAAGACATTACCGGTGGAGTGGGAAGGAACTAAGATAATCTTTCCTGGTTTCTTTTAGACAGCCAGTCAGTTATTTGTTGCATTCAGGCAGAAGGGAGACGGTTTTTTTAATCGGATCACTGTGCGGTTTGTTCAAATAAACTATAACGTCAACCTGAGACTCGTGCCCTGTCAACTGAGACCTGCACTAAACCAAGTCACGTAGGAGTGACGTCACATGAGTTAGCCTGACTGGAGAACACTAATGAATCTTTTTCGGTCTATTTCGGAGCTCTTAGACTGGAACCCTGGTGGTCTGTCTTGAGTCCACGAGTGACTGAGTCACGGTTATATGTTAACGACATTTAGCGTTTTGGACCCATCTACTAACCGCTCTCCTTTTCGCGCCTATTTATAAAGTCGTTACGAGACATCCAATTGCTATTTGTCTCCCGACCTATAGGCCTCCCAAAGAGCTTTCCAGTGCTTATATTACTATTCATGGGAGGGGCTGAGAAGTCCGATATATAATCCACTAACTGCTAGTCCAAGTTAATAAGGATATTTGGTATGCTGATTCCAGATGCTAACTGTAGTTACTTTGGAGATTACGTGTAACAGAACTTCCTTTACATCGGCCAGAATTTTAGAAATCGGACGGAGGTTAACTGTCGGAGTTAAGGGAGAAATAACTGGAGTACGCTTTATATCGGCTTTAAAACCCATTAATGATCGATGTGGCAAATGTCAAAACAATTACGCGAGGTCTGTATGAGGGATAAGTACACAAAGCAACTAACTTGTATCTATTAAATTGGAGTAGCGTTTATTCATCACCTTAGACACCTGATTTCTGCGTTAAACGAGCCATTTTGACCTATTCTATTTGTTTACTGCCATTAATCAGTTCATCCAAAATTTTTACTAGACGCAGTTTAGGCAAACAATGCGATTTCTCCAAAAATATCACTGAAAGAGGTCTGACTGGACCTTGACTGCACCTTTGGGTGGTACGCAATCCAAAAGCACGATCCTAAACCAATACTACCAATTTCCTTTAAAATAATTTAAACACTCCGCGTGAAATTTCATACAGTAAAAGCCTCTTTTTTCTCATATGGCTCTATGGGAACGGTTATTAATGCTTCGTGGAGTTTTTACATAATCACACCGTATCAGGCGTTTGCTGATAAATTGGGTTTCGTGAGTCTCATTTTCCGGTCCGCTGCGGCTGATCAAAGTTATACTCAAAAAGGTCCTTTGCATTCCGATTACCGGGCAAGAAATGGCTGCTGGCGACATAAAATAGAAGCAAGTCCCAAAGTTATCCATTTTAGAAGGATTCGTCTGTCCAAAGTGGTCAATAGTGGACTGTAAATGCAGTATCACAGAAAAACCACAACTGCAGAGAACTTTCTACTAGCAACATCACAGCGCGACTTAATGTCTAAACAGAGACTAGCTGGTATCAGATATGAACAGCCAGACATTAGCTTAAATCAGAAAGGAACTGCTTTCAGAAGTCTTTGATAAGAAAGGGAGAGTGGGCCATAAAGTAATATGTGGACTGCTCTATTGTTGGTCAGCTCGCCCGGTTCTAATTCCTATAGTCGGTCTGGTCTTCGCGATGCCCATAATTTTTTGTCTGAAAGAAAACATCCTGTTCGTAAAAATGATTATTTGCATACAAGTCAGCCTTTTCCTCCATTTCCGCCACCTTCTGTGTACTTTGCCTTTCTCGAAACGAGATGGACCAATATTCAACATTAAACTGATAGACTCTCCAAGCATATTTCTCAGAGGGAATACTTTCATGGGCAAATGCATATTTCCGTTAGTTCTTATTAGAAGGGTTACTTTTCGCGGCTTCTCCGCGAGTAATTGCCGCATTCTTACACCATAAACGGTTTCCACACCGATTTCCTTTTGCCGGGCGCAGCAGCTCGTTTGTAGTCTCGAAAGGCTACTTTGTGTTTACTATCTGGTATTCTGAAAAAAATCGGAGTGCTGAAAATGGCTGGAAAGCAGCAGTCTGCTTTTATACCGCTTTGGTCTAGTGCACATCCATAGAAGCAGTCATTTCCATCTGCTACTTAATTTTCAGTTTTGTCGCAGCCCTCAGAGGCGCTTCAGACCACACTTTTGGCAGCTGAGAGAATCTGGCGAAAAAAATCACTCGCATTGTCGCAAGCCGACTAAACAGGTAGCGTTGCTTGTCCCGGATTCATCATATATAGCCATCTTGAGTTTTCACTCAGAACATACTTACTGTTGGAAAAAAGACAGGCGGCCCATACGCCTTCCTTAAGGTTTAACGAATGAAGACTTATTTAAGCATTATTATGTTGTTGGCGGCTATGGCGCCTGTTGTTCTACGAAACGCAGAGCCCGTTTGAAAACGCACTTCTAAAGTTTATTCACCCTCAGACATCCGAAAACGAGGCCAAATTGGTGTCATTCGTTTTGGCACACCCTGTTTGGCAAATCTACATAGTAATTGTTTGGGAGAATTTAAAATGCCCTTAAGGAGTTGCTTGTAAGTTTGACTTGAAGTGTAAACGAAAAGTAAAACTACAAAGAAAAATAGATAAAAAAAAACTTGCAAAAAACGATAGCAAAGAAATGTGAGAAAACGGAAAAGGTAACTTACTGTACAGACTCACAAAAATTGAAATCCTCTCCAGTATCGGTTTTAGTAGCGTGAATGCTCTGGGAAAAGTCCAGAAGATTCCTGGCTGGAGTCAGTTACTTGAGCTCGTTGCTTGGGTTAATTCACGTTTGGCATGACACAACCGTGGAATAAAATTTTTTCGTGGCAATTGACTAAAAAGGATTGGGGCAAATGATCGCAGTAAACGAAAAAATGACACCAAGCAGCAGACGGAAATAAAAGTACGCGATGTTTCAAGCCGAAACCAAGTGCGTGTATGTTTTAACAAATTTTAACAACCGTACAGAAAAATGTAGGCGTACACGAAAGTTTAAAGTGAAAAAGCGAAAATGCACATAGGCCTACAGACTTACCATGCCAGAGATCACGAAGATCAGTTTGTTAGTACTGTTAGCCGTAACAACTTGCTAGAAGATTTGGTTTGTTTTTAACATTACTTTCATCAGTGAGTAGTTTGGTCAGGACTTAAGCAGTTTGCTGGATTTGTTTTAGATACCTAAGTCATCTTGCAATACGAGAGCTCGCTAGGTGATCAAGTCATTTTGTCAGCCATGTAGAAACACGCACACAAGAGAAAAACGCTTTTTTGTCAGCTTACACTCATATGTGTTGGTCTCTTAGTGTGGCTCCGGTATTAGCAAAATGCGCCCAAATTGGCCCCCTTCCTTATCGTGAATTAGGGTTTTCACGCGACTCTATATTTTCTGCACTATTTAGTTGCTTGTTAAATTACTACTAGGTGACCTTAAGATACACCGGCAGCAATAGCAATTTCGCTCTTAAATTTATTTTTTTTTGATTCTCAGCGAAAATACTTTAACGGATTACGGTAGAATGTAAACACAATTTGTTATCTGCCGCGCCCTCGGTTTGCCAGAGAGAGCGCTATAATTTACGGTCAGTTAAGGGTAACATGTGGTGTGCTTGACGAGTCGTTACTTCAGACATTTTGCATTCTTTGTCTTATAGTTAAGCATTCAGGAATTATAGTTGTTACCTTCAGGGGCATTGAGTAACTCCACCTGTTAAAGCCCATTTCAAGGCCATTTTTGCCTCTTGTAGAGGATTCACCACATAATTGGTTCCTTGACAACGCTGGGGGCAGGAGCTTCAGGTGGATAATAACCAATCAGAAAACAATGCATATCTTCTCTCAAATGCAAGACTAATATCGTAAATTAAGAATGCTTATAGTTACCTGCAGAGCATATCTGACCAACCATTCATATTCATAACCAAATGATCGTGCCCAATCTTTCAACCTGGCCTTACCTAGATTCACCTTGGGATCTCTTCCAGGAATGTGACCATTACAATAGCACTGTCGACGGAAATCTGGGAGCTTGCATCATTGCTCACTTGCTGGGCATCGTTTCCGCCTACATATTTCCCTTTGTTGGCATCTTTGGCATAATCTCAAACAGCCTCGTCGTCTATGTCTTCTTTTTTGTCTTCCGCAAACCCAGTCGACAGATGATATACCTAGGTTGTATTTCTGGGGTCGACATCCTGACACTCATCACCTTCGGCTGGATCTGGCTATTTCCCTCCAAAGGCCTTCCCTATGCTACATTTGGTCGGGTCTACTTTTTCGTCTTTAATGTCGGCGATGTGTCCTGCAAACTCTTTCGCTACGCCTACTCCTTCACAGCCAGCCTCAGTTCGTCACTCTTTCTGGTAACTGCGGTCGACCGCTGTCTCAGCATTTACTTCCCCCTTACCTTTGGTCGACTGCCCAGGCGACGCGCCTGGGAGGCGGTCCTCGTAACTACCCTAATCAGTGCACTTCTCATGCTACCGTTTGGTATTATGGTGCGGCAAGGCTATTCGCAGGGCAAGATAATTTGTTGGGTGTTCGAAGAGAAGACATTTCTACAGATTTATCATGTCCTACTGTCCAACAGTTGTCTCCTCCAGACCCTGCTCGTCATAGCTGTCAATATAGCTTTGGTGATTCGCCTAAAGCGCGCCGTCCTGCAACGTGAGTCAATGTCCAATCATGCTAACACCAACCGCGAGATCGCAGCCTCAATGCTGCTGGTTATTCTTTCAGCTGCTATGGTCATGGCTGCCCTGCCACAGTCCATTGCCTATGCACTGTCCAGCATACTCTCTGAGGTGCTGCAGGAGGAGGAGGAGGGCCGAACGATCGTCAGACTGGTCTACAACATTTCCGACCTGTGTTGGCACATACTGTTTCTGCAACAGGCCCTGAACTGGGTGCTCTACATGAAACGGATGAAGAACTTTCGACAGCAGACTCTCAGACTGCTACGATGCCGGTGTTCTCCAACTCGTGGTCTGCATGAAGAGACCTTCAGTTCTATTCGCGTCATTACCAAGAAGGTGCGACTTTCCGTGGTTGAGTCCTTTAGGGAGGAGAGAGGCAAAAAAGTCTTCGTTAAGAAGGCATCCAATATGAATAAAACGAAGTGTCTCGAAAATTTCCAGTGCGACGGTGTAATTAAACTGCAGGGTTACACTACTAGGGAGCGAGATTTGTCGCTTGAACGGACTTTTTCAGAAGGAGAAGAAATTACTGTTTCTACAAAATTTTAAAAGAAGGTTTTAAAAGCAGTCGAAACTCCGTCAAGGACTTTGGAGATTTTTGACTTATGAATTCTACGGCTGTTTTATTTTTACCGAATGCAGACGTGACCTGCCGGATGTATATGTTTTGTCGGTTCTCTTTCCTACTCTTGAATATATGAGTAACAGAGAACACCTTAGGATCCTTATTCTATCGCTGACTTATGAATCGATTTAGAAAGTCCAATTTGCACTATGAGGAGGCAGAGTGAATCAAAAGACGAAGCAAAGGTAAATATGGAGTAAAATGGAACTTGAAGACCTTTTGTACTTCTAGAGAGCAAAGCTGCTTTAATTGTAATTACCAACTTTTGGAGAAGAGGGAGGATCTAATCTTTAAAATACGTTTTCGGGTCATGCAAGCCATGCGCAGAATCACTCACTAGTCAGAGTCATAAAACCACATCGTTTCTTTATGTTTATCAGAACTTGCGGATCGAGACAGCTGATGATGCTAGTGAGAATCTCTTCAAATCTTAGAATATACGCTTTTGTACGCATTCATCTTAACGATGTAAAACAGTCATTATTTCATACTAGTTCGTTCTAAAACCATATCGTGACATTTGCAGTGGTTACCGACGTATATGCATATTTTGCCTGTGAAAGTATTTTCTCGAAATTCTAAAGGCCCGAATATGGATCTCGCGGAGGGGTTTGCTTACAACCCGTATTTTTGAAAAGAATTTTGCATATTTTGTCCGAAGGGAGGGTATATCTAGGCATTAATAGTTAGTAATTATGGGATTTTTATGACAGTACAATGCTCATTAATATAGCATCGAACCTGCCCGTTTATTTATGCTCCCCGTAAGCAATGCAATATATCTGCATCCATTGCAAAATTCTATGAGCTCCACATGTTATCATCTAAGAGCATAAACGAATATATGACTTCTTCATATAGAGTGTTTTCATCTTGTAGACTTAGAACGTCAAAAGCCAAAGCAGCGGAGATCGGAAACTTTCCAAGACTTGAACATACCTTTTCTACGAGTGTTAAATGTGTAGACGGTGTGATTTCCCATCAGACGAGTAAATAAAAGCATATCATTGTACATATTTTCTATAAAATGTATGGGAATTTACAGGGGTACCAAAAATCAATGTGAAACTCGCATGCCACTTAAACAGTCACGTCTAAACGAGTGTGGTTTTTACAGGAGATCAAAAAAGTGCATTCCAAAGCCAACGCTTTTGTGAGCTCGAAATATTATGGGGTTGTACTGCATGATAACCAAAATTCCAACCCCTCTTCATTAATCGTTCTCAGCCGAAAGCGGCTTTCAGAATTCTGGCTAAAACTTCGTGTGATCGGTCACGAAGTGTAAGTTTAATAACGTTTTTTAAGCCAACTATCATCTAGAGTCAAACCACATTGGTCTTGAAAACATCTACTTTAGTAACACTTTGTAGGAAATGTGGGACCTCTAATATGCAAGATTTTTTCCGGAGCCAATGGCTGTAGAGATCGGTTTTTTTTAAATATATTCGGCCGATGCTGATCCTAAGATCCCAAAACCTAAAATGAGCCCTCCAGCATTCCTAATGCTCTCCAGAAGGAGTGCACCTTATTGAAGTTTGGGGGGACTACCATGCAGTGCTTTTTTACTCTTTTGAAGAGAGGATGTTGTTTGTTATATCTGCAAAACTTTAGATTATGATGTCGAACATGTTGCGATGCTCTCTCCCCTGTAAATAATATATGCTATCACAAATGATACAATTCTCGATTCCTCGATTTTCCAAATTGTCAATACAAATAAAAGTTTACCAGTATTCGCCCTGTTTAATGTGCCTTAAAATTAAGCTTGATTTTACCAAAGTATGAGTAGCAAAACAAGATAGCGAAAATAAACTGAAGTTTCTACCATGTTTGCAAAACATTTTCTCGATTTTAACTGTGCTCAATCTTTTGTGGATGAATCGCCGATCTATTTGGACTGGTGTTGTGGCTCCGACTGGAGCTCCGATCTACAGATTTGGTTTGATCCTACCTGTGGACCATGCGGGTTGTGTATACACGTCTGTCTGGGTTTAGCCTCAAGTCTCATTCAGGCTATGCTTGAGTAAAAAAGTGGTACAAACAATTTTGAAGCAACACCTGTTCCATTCTCACCCTGACGATCTTCCTCTGAAATCCTACTCTAATAAAATTCCCACTTGCTGCTGTTCTACAGGATGTGGTTCAGCGTTCTGGTCTGCACAGGGGGCTCCGCTGTTGACTTTGACCTATACGGGCAAAACAAATATGCTAAAGGCGACAGATAGGGCTTTAGACGACGTCAATCACCGCGTTCGAGCTACAGTGCATGAACGATCTGATGAAATGTTGGGCGAAATACTGAAATGCGTTTTCGATGAGGAAAAACTACTTAGGTGGGTGGCAATGTCGCTTATCAAACGACATTATTCCAGAACATTTCGGACTTTTCAGGATGCGGCTTTTGAATGAACTTCCTATCGACCTCCTATAGAAGCCACAGTCGGTAAAAAGTGGCTACTTAGGTAGCATGTATTTGTCGAATTAAATTTCGGTGATCATATAAATTCTCATATTGTTTATGGAGAACATGCGCAAAAATATGCTTTTTTTTCATTTTTTTGGTAGAAAATAACATTGTCTTTACATTTTATACCCACAAAAGTATATATTCAGTTTTAAAAAGGTTTCGAATTATGAGAATTTTATGACCGTGCGATATCCATGCACACAGCGCCGCACATCTCCGTTTACCCATGCACCTTGTAACATGTCCACATCCCCTGAGAAATTTTGTGAACTTAACATTGTATCTTCTTAAAGACATAGAAGAATATATTAATTTTCTTATGCGGAAAGCATGCATCGTGTAGAATGGAATCGTTAAAAGGTAATGCAACGGCTCATTTGGTCCAAAATGATTGGGAAATTATGAAACTTTTTCAGAACCTAAATATACGCTTTCTTCAGATATAAAATGTAAAGATAATGTTATTTTCTACCAAACGAGTGAAAAAAACATATTTTTGTGCATGTTATCCATAAAAATATTTGAATTTATATGATCACCGAAATTTAATTCGACAAATACATGCTACCTAAGTAGCCACTTTTTACCGACTGTGGCTTCTATTGGAGGTCGATAGGAAGTTCATTCAAAAGCCGTATCCTGGAAAGTCCGAAATGTTCTAGAATTATGTCGTTTGATAAACGACGTTGCTACCCACCTAAGTAGTTTTTCCTCATCGAAAACGCATTTCAATATTTCGTCCAACATTTCATCAGGTCGGTCACGCACAGTAATCTCAAGTCGGTTTAACACAAGCCTGCCACTGATACATTATCGAAGATTTATAGAGAGAAACGGACCCTAAGGCAATTCCACCACTAAGATTAATCTGACGCAGGTAAACCACCACTAGACTTTCACCAGCTGGTCAGCAATTCTTTAGCATTCTCTTCTTCATTTCACTCAATGGTTAAACGAAGAAATGGTAGAGGGGCGCTCGCCGATTGTTTTTACGGAACGCACGCGTCCCGTTGTGCCTTATAGGCTCTCTCTCTCGAGTCAAACAGGCAGCCGCACAGCGGCGCATGGTATAGGCAGAATGCTATTGTCGACAAAGACGAGGGAGACTGGAATGGCCATTTCTGGCCTATTAGCCGTCGTCAGCCAGTCATACCATTGTATATTCCCGATCGCAACCGACAGGGCAACGCGTCCGTGGCCCAGTGGCTAGAGGCGTTGGACTTCTAACTAACGGGTCGCGATTTCGAGTCTCGGATGTCTCACACTTCGGAGTTGGGTATGATGACGGCTAACAAACCAGAAATGGCCATTCCAGTAGAGCTGGGTGATAAAAGCGGACGCAAGACACGCTGCGACACAGTCATCTTCTTTTGAGCAAACACAAACATTGCTTCCTGTTGGCCGGATGATGCTATCCATGTCGACAAGCTCTTAACTTTTATAGGCAGGGAGTCCAACGCTTCTGCCCCATACGCTATCTAATCGCTATGTCCTGATCTACTTAAGGCAATTATCTTGAAGGTGTATGTTTCGCAACTTATCTTGTCTTCTTGAATGGTGTTGAAGAATTGAATTTATTTTTGAACGAGAACGTGCACTGTATTACTTTTAGCTTATTTTGGCTAATGTTCAGATGAATCTAATAGGGTTATTTTCATACTGACTTAACAATATTTTTTCCGTTCACGCGCACGTGCATTTTAACGACCGAATATTTCTTTTTTTCGGTGCGTAAGTTTGTTTTGTTATGGTCACACATAAACCCCTCTGCACTGGAGAGGCTCAGTCTATCAGTCAGGAGCACCCAGAGATAAGTGGTTCCGACATCAACCATCCCTGTTCTGCAAAGCACAAAACAGCTGGTCGTGGCATTATTTCAATCCATAAATAACACTACATAACGTTTACATTAACGAATTAATGTGGGAAAGCAGAGAAGAATTATCTACTTCCTACTTTTTTATCGATATTCCAATATAACTATTGATTTTGAGAATAAATACTTGACAAAGTAATCCTCTAGCATGACATTTGGTTGTAATATTCCTACAAATGTGTTTCTGTGCGTTATGTGATCTGAGAAACGCGGCAGACTTTCCCGCCCCCTACCGCACTCTCTCCACCATCATCCACCACATTCCCATGACAAAGTGGACTAAGACACCAGGCAGTGACGCCAAATTCACATGGGCACAGTATTAATGCAGGGATACTAACAGGGCTTCTACTATTTTATTGGGGCACCATTGTTGTGTGCGCTTAGGAAACCAGTTCTGCGTTTCATACATGTGAGTTCGCCGGATTTACGATGACGCCTTAAGGGCACTGACTAATGTCGGTGCTATGCTCGAAAAATCAAACTATATCGCGAACGCTGCGTTAGAATACTTCAAGTTTAGTGTCAAGCCGACCCTTAGATTCAGAAGAGTATTTGGCGAGCATACGCGTGTTTTCGAT